GGGAGGCTCATCTCGTGCCGCTGCCTCCAGTCACACGAGCGTGTGATTCACAGCAGGGGCAGCCCGTCTCTCCCCATTGACCATGAGAAGAGCCATCCTTATCTTGATGAAAATCTGGTGCTCTGGCACAGATTTCATTACAAACAAGAAGCACCTCAGCAGCCATCAGTGAGCTTGTGAAACCGGTGCTAAAGCCTGCTGCCATCATTGCCAGCCACCACATTGTCTTTGCTCCACACGTGGCTGATTGCAGCAATACCTCGTTGTCAGCTGGCTGGGTTGGTCTTTGCCATGCCTGAAAGGTTCTAATTATACCCCTACCCTCAGACATGGGGCGTGAGGAATGCAGGCGGGCTCTGTCATGCAGGTTGCCCTGTTGTCCTTTCTGGGGTGCCCTGAGAGTTACTCCAGCTGCATGGTGCTTTGCGTGAGGAGTTGATCTGGGCTGGGCTGTGGGGTTGTGAAGCGAATCCCAAGTGTTGTCTTGGCCACACCTGATGACAAGCATTCACATTCATGCCATTGAAATCCTGGGTGGCATGTGGAAAGCCACACTGCACGTGGCATCTAGTGAGTGACCTGCTAAGCCACTGCTGCAAAATTCCTGTAGGAAGACATGTTATTTTGATCATCAGAGCTTAGGAGTGAGCTGGCCCCGTTTTGCAGGTGTGGAAGGGGAGCAGGCTGAGATGGCACTTGTGTCACCAAGGTTTGACCCCTTTTTGTGCAGCAACATGTTACAATTTGAATGCCACCCATGAACTGTTGATTGTAGTCAACACTGAGCCTCTTCTAAGCCCAGCTTTGTTCTGTTCTCTGCTTGTCTGCACAGGGGCATTCAGAGATGAGATGAGACCCATCCCTGATGCTTTTTAGGCAGGAAAAACCAAACTTCATTCAGCCACGAAGTAGACAGATGTTGCACGGTGGGCACTGGCACCATGTTCTAGGCTCAGCATTCCCCAGTGAAAGGAAAGCGCAGTGTCTGTCACCAGCATTTTGTAGCCAACAGGGCAGAGGGAAAGCACGTTGCTGAATTAACCTGCTCCTGGGCCTGCTGCTCACGTCAGTGGAGGCACGTGGCCGGTCCAGTCTCCTGCAGGTTCTCAGGCTATGGGTATTCGGCCAGCTGAAGCCATACGCTGCCTGAGGGAACCTCTCTGTTTTCCTCCGAGGTGCTCTATCTGTTTGTCTTTCTACAGAAGCTTCCTGTTTGTATTCCCAGGTCAGGGTCCCGTGGTAAAGGCACGAATATTGACGTGCGTGGAAGGGATGAATGTGCCCTTGCTGGAACAAGCCATACAGGAGCAGAGGAAATACTTCAATGAGAGGCAGCAGCGGATGGAAAACAGCACGTCCTGACGGCAGCTCTGAGACCAGCTGTACACTGGTCCTTGCACTTCCATTTGTAACAAATAGGTTAAAAGTAAATTTAGAAGGTGGGTTTGCAACTTACCACTTTTTGCTGTGGCAAATAGCAAAGAGAAGTCACTGAGCAGGGAAACACTTGAAGACTGTGAGTCGGTGTGTGACTGTGGGTTGTCTGTTCATGCCAGGTGTCATCACTGAAAATAGCTCTGGGAAGCAGGTTTGTTGTTTGTGTAAAAGGGCGGTTAAGGAAAGGGAGCGCTTGAGTTATGCTGGTCCTTTTGTAATGCAGGGCTTGGAGATGTCAGAAAAAGGAGAAGTCTCTGAATCTCGAGTTAAACAGCTCACACCCTCGCGCACTGCCAAAGTGCAGCAGGTTACCAGGCTGTTGGCAGATGGGAGGTAAAGGGCATTAGCGCAAAGTTCGTTAGCCCTGTGCGCCTGCGGATCCGTGAGCGCGTGCATTTGGTGACTGTGACTCAGCTTCCACACAGGCGCGTTCATGGTAAAACACTTGAATATCTGGACCGACCAACAAAGAAACAAGAAGAACAAAGAGTCGCTATTTTCAGTAGCACCTGCCCCTTCCGGTTTTCAGGAGCTGGTAGCCAAGGTGGGGGATTGACTTAGGCTCTAAAATAAATATTTGTAGTGCCCTGGGAACCACCACTTGACTTTCTTCCTTGACACAACTATGTAGGAAACATGAAATTACTATTTTTTTTGAAGCATCTAGAGGTTTTGGTTGGTATTTTCCTAAATAAAGATGAAAATAGAAGGCAGCCTGTCTTTTATTGATTAAAACCTCTTTCTTGCGATGGCAAATGTGTTAGGCCCTGCAGAAACCCCATGGATTATGTAAGAAAATTTAGCAATACGCAGTTTTCCTCCTTCTCCTAAGTACAGCGTGTGTAACGAACGAAGTGCTTGACTTTGACAAGGTTGCAAGAAGAGGAGATGAAGTTACATCAGAGCCACGCCGGTTTAAGAACATGGTGCCAAGCCCACCTGGCAGAATTAAACCATCACCAAAAAGAAAATCACTAATGTGAAATCAGAATAAAATGTTAGTGCAAAAGAGAGGAGACTCCTGTGGCGTAGAAATCCCTGGACCTGGAGTGAGCTGAGATTGTGGTTTGCAGGGGAATTCAGCCACCTGCAGCCTTTTCTGCTTTTTGCTCATGTTCTCTGGTGAAATGTTCAGAAAATAAGGACTGAAGCCATACAATGCACAGCAGCAGATCAAAATGCAGAAGGTATTGGCAAAGTAAGTCCCCTGTTACCAGCAGGCTTGATTCAAGGGCCTGAGATGGCTCAGTAATTACAGCACTTGATATAATCTTTAACCATAGTTTAGCCTTATGGTTTTTCTTCACGTGGTTACAGAGAATCCAAAAGCCCTGCCTCAGCACAATCTCTGTTCAGCCCAAGTCCAAAAAACACGATCTCAAGAGGCAAGATTTTAACCTGGTTTTGTAAAAGACAGTGGTGAGTCTGTCATAATGTGTTTATGTTTACACCGCATCTCCTGTCTGTTCTCCTACCTTCATCCCTGCGCTGAAGTTTTATCCAAGTGGCCAGGTTTGCCAGAGAGGTGGGAATATCCAAGATGCCAGGACTGGGAATATCCAAAATACCAGGTTCCTACAAGTGTTACGTAAAAAAGTCCCCACAAACCCAGCCAGCCAGGAAGAGGAGAGCAAATTTGGCAATGACTCCGGACGGAGACGTGAGTGCAAACACAACCTTCACAAGCCACCGGAGAACCCACACAGGACTTTGCCGTGGCCATGCGGATCCCTCTTCAGCCACAGAGCAACCACGCTTTGGTTCTTTCACATTGGCAAAATCAGGATCAGTTTTAAAAAGATTTGGAGCTGGTGGCTCAGCAATGGGCGAAATCAATCCTTTTTTGGTCACCGAAAAGTTGGGGTCTGCACTGTGGGCCCAGGCGGGCAGTGGGCTGCCGGGTCCTGCTGTGCCCACCCAGAGACGTGGAGCCCACACGTCCTCCAGGAGACAGGCCCTGTGGCTCTGCCTTTCCTGGTGCCGCGATGCGTAATATTTTTTTAATCTCGTTTTCTGGCAGCTGTCAAGTCAATGATTAATCCCCCACCAAGGGCATCTTGCAAAAGGCTGACCAAGCGCCGCAGCCCACGCTGGGGAGGTTCAAGGAACAATTGCGCAACACAGAAAAAATAAAAAATAAAAGCCATTTCTGCTGTGTGTTTGACCTGAGTGTGTCTTGGGGAACCCTGGTTATGCACCACATCCCCTCGGCACCGCGCAAACGGAGCTGCAGAGCTTCGCTAGGCCCTGCTGCCTCTCCCTCCGGCCCAGAGCCATTTTGCTCCGTGTTTGCTTTAGCCAACACACTCCACAACCCTGGCCGCAAGCAGCCGATGCCGGGCAGTTGGTGTAGGGTGTGTTTGGCTCTTTGGGTCTGCGC